ACCTCAGGGCAGCTCCTGTCCATACAGCCCCCAGCAAGTGCCGGCCATGGACCAGGCCTGAGCTGCAGAAGGAATCCGATGGGAAGTGGAAGCAGGGGGGCACTGGTGGTTAAGAAAGCAGGCTTTGCCAGGCAAGGTGGCTCACGTCTGTAACCCCAGCGCTTTGGGAGACCGAGGCAGGTGGATCATCTGAGGTCAGGAGTTTGAGACCAGCCAAGCCAACATGGTGAAACCCTGTGTCTGCTAAAAGTAAAAAAATTGGCTGGGCACGGTGGCTTATGCCTATAATCCCAGCACTTTGGGAGGCCAAGGTGGGCAGATCACTTGAGGTCAGGAGTTCAAAACCAGCCTGACCAACATGGTGAAACCCCATCTGTACTAACAATACAAAAAATTAGCCAGGCATGGTGGCACATGCCTGTAGTCCCAGCTACTGGGGAGGCTGAAGCAGGAGAATCACTCGAACCCAGCAGGTAGAGGTTGCAGTGAGCTGAGATCACATCATTGCACTCCAGCCTGGGTGACAGAGTGAGACTCCATCCCAAAAAAAGAAAAAGAAAAAAAATCAGCCAGGCATGGTAGTTTTCACCTGTAATCCCAGCTACTCCGAAGGCTGAGGCAGGAGAATCACTTGAACCTGGGAGGTGGAGGTTGCAATGAACTGAGATCACACCACTGCACTCCAACCTAGGCAACAGAATGAGTCTGTCTCAAAAAAGAAAAAAAGAAAGCAGGCTCCAGGCTAGGCACAGTGGCTCACGCCTGTAATCCCAGCGCTTTGGAAGGCCAAGGCAGGAGGATCATTTGAGGTCAGGAGATCAAGACCATTCTGGCCAACATGGTGAAACCCCTTCTCTAGTAAAAATACAAAAATTAGCCAGGCGTGGTGGTGGCACCTGTAGTCCCAGCTACTCAAGGGGCTGAGGCAGGAGAATCCTTTGAATCTGGGAGATAGAGGTTGCAGTGAGCCAAGACCATGCCACTGCACTCCAGCCTGGGTGACAGAGCAAGGCTCCATCTCGAAAAAAAGAAAAAAGAAAAGAAATCACCCGGGGACAACACAGGGAGACTCAAGAGGAGACCAGTTGGCCCCCACAATAAGGCTTTCGTGGGACCAGTGATACCATTTTGAGAGTCACTGTCAATTCCAGCAAAGAACTATTAATTGCCTTAAGAGCTTTTATTTTATTTATTTATTCTTTAGAGACAGGGTCTAGAGTGTTGCCTGAAGTGCAGTGGTGTGATCAGCTCATAGTAACCTCCAACTCCTGGGCCCAAGCCCACCTCCTGACTCAGCCTCCTGAGTAGCTAGGACCACAGGTGTGCACCATTACGCCTGGCGTTATTTTCCTGGTGACACTCCTCTCTCCCTGACTTTGTGTGCCCCCAACCCTGACTAGAAACTGGGCCCAGTGGGGTGGGCCTGGTGTCAGTGTCAACCGCACCCCAGGACAGAGCCCCATCTGTGAGCTTGTGACAGTGGGGAGCCCTCTGAGCCCCAGCCTCACCTGGTCCCCCACTTTGTGGGTGATGACCGCACTCCCTCCTCCAGTTCTGCATCGAGTGGGCGGATTTGAAGTGCCACCTGCGGGAGGCCACCGGGGCAACTGCATGGGGACTCTTCACCCTCGGGCCCCCAGCCTTGCAGCCCTGCCCTCCCTGGCCCTGTGGCTCTGGTACCTGCTCAGTGAATCGATAAAGCAGCAGCTCAGCCCCATGCCCCTCAGGCTAGGCTCCAACTTTGCTCCGGAAGGGCTGCCTACACCCCCAGCAAGATGTGGCCTCCCTCACTGAGCAATGGGGCGGTTGGGGTACAGAGGAGGGAATGCCTGCCCAAGGCCTCCCAACCAGTGAACCTACACCTCCCAGTCCTGCTACCTCCAGAAGGGATGCTAAGCTCCTTCAGAGAAAACTTCCCCTAGGGGAAACTGTGGGCCTCGCTATCTCCCCTCCTTGTTCTGAGGGCCAGACCCCAGGCTCAAACCCACCCCAGCTGCATAGGAGCCATGGCCCCCGGATGCCCTTTCCCCCTCTGTAAAAGGGATGTATTTTTTGGTAGAAACAACAGCTGAGGGGCAGTTATGCCTGGCATTTCTCCTTACCCAGCCATAGCACTGGGGCAAGTCCCCAGCTCAGCTCACCACTGTGCAGTGGACAGAGGCTGAGTCCCCTGACAGACAGCCTGGATCAGGCTGGGGAGCCCGGAGCCCGCATGCCCAGGTGCCAGCAGCATGGGGATTAGGGGCAGAGAGGGTATCTGGAGTCAGTGGGGAAGAGTGGGGCAGCTAGGTCCCAGGGAGGGACAGTGGAGGAGTAAATGGGGCCTCATAACAGAAGGGTCACTATAGTGGCAGGTTGGGGAGGCAGCGTTGGGCACTCACACTGGGGGCAGCCAGGGGACGAGGGAGGGCACTCACCATGACTGGCTGGTCCTTGGGCTCCATCTCCCTCAATGCCAGGCTGCCCCGGGCTGGGGAGGGGCCTGCGACCTGGTAGGAGAGCATGGGCAAGGGACACACTCCCTGCTATCCCAGCAGAGGCGAGACCTGGCTGTGCTCAGCCCCACCCCACCCCAGTGACATCAGCTGGACCTCAGGGGAGCTGGGCTGGCACCGCTCACGTGGTTGGGGCCCCAAGGAGCAGGATGGCCCTCCTGATCACATCTGCACACGGGGACCACGGCGGCCTCTATCTCCACACTCACTATGGCAACCCCAGGTTTCCATGTGCCTCACCTGGTGCACAAGCCGGCCTGACCCCCACCAGTATGCAGGTGGAGGGGCTGCTCCTCTTCTTTGCAGGGTGGGCACCCTGAGACCAGCAGACGCTGCCCACTCCAGGGGCCCCTCACACGGAGACCAGGGTGGGCCTGGGGCATTTCCCTTGAAGCAAATGGCAGCAGCTGAAGCTTCACTCGGTAACTTCAACTGCAACTGCCGTTTCCAACAGTGACGACGTTTTTTTTTTTTTTTCTGTCATCCAGGCTGGAGTGCAAACTTCACCTCCTGGGTTCAAGCAAGTATCCTGCCTCAGCCTCCCGAGTAGCTGGGATTACAGGCATGCACCACCACACCTGGCTAATTTTTGTATTTTTAGCAGAGACAGGGTTTCATGTTGGTAGGCTGGTCTTGAACTCCTCAGGTGATCCGCCCACCTTGGCTTCCCAAAGTGCTGGAATTACAGGCGTATGCCACCGCACCTGGCCTACAACCACATCGCTGATGCACTAGCCATGGTCTATGTGCCTTTCCCAGTCAGTGCTTGGATTGGCTATCACATGTATTAAATGCCTAAAGGTTGTGCTCATTCCACTGGAGGTCCGGGGGAGGTCACCGCACTGAACCTTCACCGCCAAGGCTGACTGTCCCCACCAGGCTGTGTTAACCAGAGTGCAGGATGACAGTGCCCAGAGCCAGGGTCAGTGCCAAGCACAGAAAACCACTCCCACAGTGACAGAGATCACACCAAGGCCGGGCCAAGCACGGTACAACCCCCCCAAAAAAAGGAGAAAAAGAAATCACGCTAAGATCAGATCCATGCCATTTGAACCTCTCAGTCCAACTTCATGATTCCAACTACAGAGCTGAAAGGGCTCGGGGGTCCATTCCTGGCAGGCGGGGTACTCAAGCTCTCCCAAAAGCCACTGCACTGTGCCTTTCCTGTATGCCGACTAGGGAGCAGGGACAGCTCAGTTCAGAGGCCAGGGCATATGTTTGGCCACATCCATCTCTTTCCTGGTGTCCAGGTCAACGCTGTGCTGCAGGAAGCCCCTGTCAGGTGGATTCGGCAAGGGGCTGCCCCTCCAACATCCACGTCCCACTCCTCTAGTCTCCAGTGTCTGACCAAGGCACTTGCTAGGAACACATCCATGGGTCGCAACATTCCTGGCTGCCTCGGCCTCCTGAGACACAACCAAGGCAGTGCCTGCAGCAGAGGTCCCAAGCCCACCCTGATGTCCTGAGCCCAAAGCCCTGGGGACCCAATACCTGGGAAGTCCCTCCACCACAGGCCAGCTCTGGGAAATCCACATGGACCATGGCAAAGTGAAAACCAGCACAAAGTCTTCAGAAATTCTTTATTTACGAATTATATGAAACAATTACAACTAGTGAATTTAAAACAGTGAAAACTTAATTTTTTTAGAAGGTCTGTTAAAAATTTGTCATATGGTAGAACTGTGTGTCTTTCTTCTTTCCATGAAATCAGAAAAACTGTTTCTTGGCACACTAGAGTTTAAACGCATGAGTTTAAAGAGCATGAACGTAAACAAGAATTACTAATAAAATGTGCACTGAAGGGGCACAGGATAAACGGCAGGATTGCAACGACTCCAGAATTTTGAAAGCACAGATAAGAGAAATGTAAGGCTCATAAAAAAGAAAATGTACCAAGGCACTCTCCTCATACCCAGGAAACTCAGCGGGACCCGAGGCTCCGGGCTGCTCCTCCAGGCTGGCAGGCGCCCGGGTCTTCCGCCCTGTGAACTACAGCCCCATCGCCTTAGGTTTGTAATGGTCCCTTGGCTGTGAGTTGAGTGCTGCCTCAGGTTCCACAAGTTGAAAAGCGGTGGATGAAATGCTAGGTCACGGGTGCCAATGGGAAGTGAGACCCTGCAAACAGAAGGGGTTGAAACTCCCCCCATTTGTGTGCTCCTTCCCAACAGGAAACCCGCTCAGTACTACAAGAGGACCGCGTATAAGTGGGCAGAACTGACCGTCCTCAACACACGTTTCCCAATGTGTCTAACGCCAAGCAAAGGCCACAGGGGTCTCACCAGGGAAAATAGCCAGCACCTTTCACAGGAAACAACAGAACGGAAGAGATTGTGGCGTGACTGACCAGCAAACTGCTGGATGCAGGGCGGCCGAGTGTGCCCGACGACCAGATGGGACGGCACCCTGTGGAGACCTGGCTTGGCAAGCAGGCACCTGCCACTGAGGAGGGAGGCAGGCAACAGGTTCAAGGTCACTATCTACATTCAAAGAGAGGAGATAGATGGCTTTTTCATACAAGTTTGCTTTTATTTCCAAGTTCAACCTGTGGAGAAAACTGGCCACCACCTGCACAGTGGGGGTACGAGGCGTGGCAGTGCCCTCCCGGCGGAGCTCCAGCACGTGTCCAGCACTACGCGCGACAGGGACGCAAGTCCTTCAACGGAAACACTGCTCAGCTGTGGATGGGCACCGTGGAAACACCACTGGCTGCGGAAGAAGATGCTGCCGGTGACGCTGCTAGAGTCTACGGAGCCAACACAGGTGGTTCCGACAGAAAACCCCAAACAAGAAAGAAGTGGAAGTGGTGCCTTAAAACCCCCCACTGCAGACACCAGGGGCTGAAAGGCACAAAAATGTGTTGCAATGGCAGAATCCCAGGCGTGGTCACAGTCCAGAGCACGGGGAGGCGGTGGGAGTCGAGCAGGCTTCCTGCAGGGCGGCCTCCGCTCCACACCACACGTGCTGCAATGCAACAGAGGGACCTCACTGACGCTCTGTCCTGCAGCTCAGCGCGGGAGCGCCAGGCGGGGTCAGCTCAGTGGCTCCGTCCTCTGGACGGGCAGGCAAGGCGGCCCTAAATAGCACCGCCTGAAAAGGCTGAGGGGCTGCTGAATATCACCTTGGGGTGACATTGAGTCCGGCAACAGGAGTCACCTTGGCCACAGAGAGCTGAGCCCGTGTGCCACCACCCCTCACTCATGGTCTTGCCCTGGGGACAGCAACCAGGCCATCCTTAGGCACCCCCAAGTCCCAGGGACTTAAACCTTCTGTCCCACACATGCCCATGCTGTGAGGCAAGGAGGCCCCCAGGACTCAGGAACTCCCCAGTCCCCGACGTGGAAGGCTTGTCTCGGAACAGGCTGGTGGCTGCTGGAACCAGAGTTGCAGCCACGCACGCCAGTGTTTTTTTCTGGTGGAAACACCGCGGCCGTCATTAGCAAGGGTGTCGGCAAATGGCCAGGCACAGCCACGCTCCTCTTCCTAGCACTTCCCAGCACCTGGCTACAGTGTCTCCCTCACCCAGCACTGCCTGAAAGGCACCATATGTGATGCAGTCAGAGGGCACAGCCAAGGCCAGGTCGGCACCAACTCCACATTTCACACAAGGCTCAGTTAATCCTGAGCATGTAACACCCGGGCTTCACCCCTGTCTTAAAGGAGGTGCTTTCTCAGTGAGATAACAGAAGCAGGGTGAGAGGAGCCAACAGGACCCCCGTCACATCTCCCCAAAGACGCTCACCACAGAGCTCCCCGGTCACTCCTGATTCCCTAGGGGGATGATTTCTTCAGTGACAAAGAATTCTATGGTCTCCTCTTCCCAGTCGTCCACATTGCTGTCCAGCTCATCAGTGTCCACCCCTGAGGGGACAAAGGGCACGGGTCACCCATAGGGGCAGATGCTGAGAGGCACCGCTGAGGCCATTGGGAAGAACACAGGAACTTGTGTCCACTGGGGCCCATGGCAGCAGAAGGGCCAGCTGGTGACTGAGGGATCTCAAAGTTACCTCCTCGAAGCTCCAGGCGCTCGTTTTTCTGCTCCATATAGAGCTCCTGGGCCATCTTCCGGTACTTCCGGAAGTCTTCCATCATGGTGCGCCTTCTCTCCACCAATTCCTATGCATGAGGGTGGGGAAAGCCACAGAGCTGGTGACACCTGCCTTGCCATTACTAAGAGCACACATCCGGGGACAGAGCCAGGACAATGGCATTTGGAGGTGCTCAGGCAGGAATGGCAGCCCATTCGTTCTCATTTTCCCCCAACACTGCCCCCGCCCACAGAACAGCAGTGAGGCTGCCAACTCCAAGTCCCCATGCCAACCCCTGTCCCCGACTGTATCCCTCCTAGGAGGAAAATAGAACCAGTGTCTTCGGGGCAGAAGCAACTCTGAGCAGACACACAGCAGCCCCCTCGAAGCCTGACGTGAGCCCGCCTTTGCTGTGATGGTGGATGTCGCAGCATGGCTCTCACTTCAGGGAACGAGGCTCACCTTTGAGGCTTTGGACTGGCTCAAACGATCCTTCTGTTCAAAGATCTTAGAGTATTTCTTCAGATCCTTTTTAATTTGCTGAAACAAAAGACTACTGTCACTCAGGATTTAACATTCGAAGCAAGAAGCACAAACGCAATCTTCAAAGTTGCCGCCATGAAGTGACATCCAGAGTCATTAACACAACACAGTGCCCCCGGAGTGCTCGCGCCTGCTGTCTCTTCCCTGTTTCACGTTGAGACTGACTTTCTTCCTGGGATTTAACCCTCCTCTTCATTCTGACCTAATATCATCGGCCTATTTTACCATCATTATGTAAATCCCAGACAAGTCGCTTTCTAATCCCACCAGGACTTTTTAATAGCCCCTGCATCTTTTTATCCACCCCTCAGGTTCATGTAAAACTTCCCTCAACAAGCTGAAGACCTCAGTTTACTCTCCTAAAGCTGTTCTATTCCATTCAGTTTTCACGGTTCCCTCGTCTCTTCAAAGGGCCTAGCCCCCAGTCACCACCCTACCCACTTTTCCTTTCAATGCCATAACCACCTCCACATGCCCTGCACCTGAGGGTGGGGGGCGCTGACCTTGATCTGCTCCTGGCTCAGGAGTGTTGGAGGCCGGGGCCGCCACAGCAGCTGGCAGAAGCGGTCCTTGTTGTTCTTCTGCAGGAGGCGTCCCTGGAAAGTCCACAGCCAGTACGCGTTGTCCACCTAGGCCAGGGCAGGGACACACCAGGACATAAAAGGGTCAGCAGAGCCACAACAGTGACTATGTCACTTGCTGAACAAGGTCCTGGATATCGGGGACACGTGTGAACCAAACAAAGCTCTACCTTTGCTGAGCTGACATTCAGCAGGGGAGGTGGTCAGTAAATGAAAGACACAAAATATAATCAACCCAGAGTGCAGGGAGCACAGCAGCTGGAGCGGCGCACAGCAGCTGGAGCAGTGCTCATCATAGCACAGGCCTACGCGCTCCTGCTGGCAACAAGAACCCCGCGCCGGATGTAAGCTAACTGCATCACTACATGCCGCTCAGTTCCACTCTCTTCATAGCATGACTCTCTCATGAAGGACGGCGCCGTCACTGGCACCCAGGATAAACTCCCTATGACAGGCTGGCATTGTGGGAGCTAAGTGTTTATACCTCAAGCAGAGTGGTCAATAGCTTAGAAGGTCTTTTCTTTTAATGGGGTTAGGGTTTCACTACGTTGCTCAGGCTAGTCTCAAACTCCTGGGCTAAAGTGATTCTTCTGCCTCTGCCTCCTAAAGTGGTGGGATTCCAGGTGTGAGCCACTGTGCCTGCCCTAAAGTGGTGTCAAGGTAGGCCCCACCACAGTGACATATGAACATACCTGGACCCAAGCTGTCATCAACACACCCTGATTTAAATGTGAAGATTTCTAAGTCTAGACACTTGTAGTAATATTTGATAAGTGGCTATTCCTAAAAGTTCAGTATCTCATTCAATAAAATTACCCTAATTTGATCTCATAGACTCTATTTGCATGGACGGTTCAAGTGTCAATACCTCCATCAACTTTCTAAAAGTCACTAAATACAGGAAGTCCTCGACAAACTTAATCAGCGGTTTTCGAATAAGAACTTGTGGGTAAGGCGGCGGCTGGACTTGACCACTGACTCCAAAGAGGTCTTCATGTCTGAGGTTATGGAACTGTTCAGACTTTAAAGGAAATGACTCCTCTCTGCAGAAAAACACTCGTGCATGACACACTCATACTCCCCTTCAGGGGTCCCTGGGCCCCAGGGTAAGACCCCCCACCATGAGCAGGGGCTGCTCCTGCCACCTCTTCTACAACCCAGAATCCTCTTCCTCCTGCCACGAACACCAGCTGAGGCTTCTGTTAAACACCAAGGCTTAGTGCCCCTCCCTGAGGTCCCAGGACAGCACCAGAGTCAGTGGCCAGCCAGCACTCCCCCTGCTTCTATCCACAGCCAAAGCTATGCCCTCGGGCCGGCACCTTATGGCTCCACCAGGACACAGAGGTGACGACATAGCGCCCAGTAGGATCCCACTCAACATCAGAGGCCATGTAGTGCTCTGCGATGTTCATGACCGTGCAGTCCGAAGTGTCCACAAACGCTAAGGCACCATTCATACTGCAGAGACAAACGGGACTGTGAGGTTCACGGTGACGCATTCTTCCCGACATCCCACCCCTGAGAGGCACAGCATGGGGTCCCCAGGGAGCCAGCCTTGGTGTTAACGTGGAAACAAGCACAGCAACAGCCTCTGGTGGCCACTGTGAGACTTACACATCACAGCTTGCAGAGTGTGCAGTGAGTATTACGCATGTCTGCCATCACTATTATTTTCACAGGAAATGTTATCTGAGGCTAAGTAAGCCTCCAAAATTACAGTAGCAAGTGTCAACAATGAAGCAAGGGAGGGCAGCGACAAAAGGATATTCTTTTAACTCAGAGCAGAAAGCTGGAAGCTTCTCCACAATTTTGACACACTGCTGGAACGCAGCTAAGACCCCTACCGTGACACCAACCACAGAGGTAAGGCAGCCTCACAGAACTAACACCCTCCGGCTAGAAGAGAGGGGATTGACCTCCTGGGGCGGGGGCAGGGGGGTAACTGGATTGCTGGAAGGCACTTGATTAACCATGAGAGAACCACAACCCACAGACTGGTCAGCCTGTCACTTCACAAAAGCATCTGCGAGTGCTTATTTCCATCTGCCCTGGCTTGGCCTCAGTCTTGGAGTGTCATGGATCCGCAAAGGTTCAATAATGTCCCATCCACTGACACCGGGGTAAATCCTTTCTGTGCGCAACATTCCCTCTGCCAAGAAGTGGGAGGAGGAGGCAGGGCGCAGGGTGCAGGCGCCTGAGGGGTCTCCGCTGCAGCAGGCAGAGCACTACTCACGAGGCGGACAGGCTCAGCGCGCGGACACCCACCTCCTCAGGCCCGCCAATACCACGAACTGTCCTTGGGGGCTCCAGAAGATGGTGTTTGCTTGCTGCTTGTCGAACATCTCTGAAAGGAAACAGAGTGCTTGTCAGGAGCTGTGAGGGCTTTCACCCCAGGATGAAGTAAGGAACCAAGGGCAGTAAAGGCTGGGGGGCTTGGCCGTCGGTCACACTACCCACGTGGGCACAGCTGGGAATGCCCGACCACCTCAGAAAACAATTTTACAAAATCCATCGCTAAGTACCCCTTAAGTCATAATCCATACTTTAAATGGGGGAGAAAAAAAAGGGGCAGGGGTATTTCAAAGCAAAACTATTTTCCTATTTCCTGAGGGAAATGGACAAAGAATTCGCTTTACAGCAAACGTTCATTGCTGCAGGGACCCCAACAGGGAGAGGATGTTAGAGACGTGTGACCCTGGAAGACCAAAGCCACTTTCCTAGCAACAAGACATCTTTGGAGAAGCTGTATGCTTGTTGAAACTGTCTACAGTCATCATCTTTCCAGGTACTAAGTCTTACTTCCAGAAAGGAACTCGGGAAGAGCCGTTGCAGCAGTGAGAAGTGAAAGCCAGCCGGGCTGGGCTCAAGTCCCCCTCAGAGCTTGGTCAGACAGAGCTGACGACCTGCAACCTCTCTCTCCTTAGCCTGTGGTACATCCAAAAAAGAAGCTGGAGCAGGATATGGAGGGGAGGAGATGTGGGAAGGCAGATGCACCCCAGCAGGGGCAGGGGTCTCAGACCTGCACCAACAAAAAACCCCAGCAGCCACAGGCACGGGATAGAACCCACACGGTGGCCACAGAGTCTATGCCAAACCTCAGGAGAGGCGCGTCATACGTGTTTGGAAGGTACAGGGTACTTCTGCTTGCTGTCTGTCTTATGATCTAGAAGACTGATACAAGTCTCTGGACAGTCTGCAACTGCCTGTATGTTTCCACCAAAGGGAATTAATGATACAGCCCATCTTGTGATCTACTGCCAACTGAGAGCACCACGCACCTGCCAATCTCCAGCAAAGTGAAAATGAAACTAAACTCCTCACAGAATCATGCTGCAAAACATGAGGCCATGAGATTCCAGCGCTTTACAGGTACAGGGCCAAACCCACGGCTCTGCAGGTGGGCATAAGGCAGCCAGTCGTTTGCGGGAGGAACACAACCCCTTGCTACCTCCCGGCTGCCACACACATACACACCACGCCTGTGAAGCAACAGGCAATGGTTCATTCCATACCCACAGGCGCTGGGCTCTGTGCTGAGCAGAGACCCCCAGGTGAAGTGAGGAGCCAAGAAAAAGACAGCAGATGCCATGAGACAGGTGAGGGCCACTGCACCACTGTGAGGAGCAAGCCCCAGGTAGGTGAGTGTAGTAGCTCTGGAACCAGG